CCCCAAAACCCCAAAACCCCAAAACCCCATTCAATCATGATTGCGCTTATTTAGATATTGTCATTGCAATTAAAATTCAAATAATAAATACTCAATATTTTAATATTTTTTCCTCCCTCTTGCTCTATCTTACTAACTCATTTACGACTAATATCATTTAGCAACTCAAGTTTTGCCTTAATACTTTCCACATACATATCATTAACTTAAATTATATCCTCTACAGTCCCACCACCCTTGGCTTAATTAATAATTTATTGCTTTCTTTTAGCTTTTACTTCCATTTCTTTAGCTTTCTCTAGGACCATATCATATCTGTCTCTTCCATTGTTGTCTAATTTGCTTAGCTCCTTTCTCCAGTCATGATTTTATGTGCTGATTGTAATACTGTTTTAAGCATCATTTTGATTTTTCATTCTTTGCTCTCTTAGCCAATCAATAATCTTTCCCTCTTTTTTCTCCTTTGGTTTAGGAACCATAGGATTATCTGGCCATTTAATCACCCTTGATCTGGTAATACTTCCATCATGATTATCTGATGATGCTCTGTGATGGCCTAGTATGCCATAAGTTGAATTGTCCTCATCGTTATCTTTGTAACTGTTGTGACCCAAGACACTACTTCTTGGAGATTTTTTCTTTAGCACAGGTGTTTTCAAACTAAGCTTTAAAATCTCTAACTCTGATTTCTTTTTTTCGCTGACCTTTGGCCAATGCATTTCTTTAACATACTTATCATAGACTTCTCTTTACTCTAAAACCTTCAATCTTTCCTAATCCTTCTTCTCCTTTTCAATCATAACTTACTAGTCTTATTCTAGGACTTTATCCAAAAACTTGCTTTGATATTTGCTGTAGTCATAGCTTGCATTTTAATATCTTTACATTCTATCTCTTTTTCTTTCCTCTACCTTCTCTCTGACGATTTCTTCCATCTTACGAGAATGCTCTAAAATATCTGATCTATCTATAGGTTAATGTAGTTCTCTAAGAGATTAAAGATGCTTTTTTCTTTTTTCTATTTCAGAATCCTCTAAATCTTTGTACCTATACTCAAGCTTCTTATATAGTGGCTATGAGATAACCTTTGTAGATTAGTCTTCATACAAAGAGTGAAAAGCTTTTTCTCTATCCTCTTTCATTTTACTAATACTTTCAGATATTCTTTTACGCTTTTACTCGATTTCATCTTAGTCATGCTTAATTTTCCTTTTAGATTCTACCTCTTACATTCTCTAATCTTCCTTTAACTTCTCTAGTTTTTCTCTTCTTCTCTTCTCTTTTCTAGCTCTTTTTTCCTCCTTTAATTTAAAAAGCAATCTTTGGACCTCTTCTTGTTACTTTTCATCCAATTCTTTTTGTTGTCTTTCTTTCAATTTTTCTTTTATTGTTTATAGTTTTTTATCGTCAGGATCCTCGTAATTATTATCCTCAATAAAGTGTTAAACACCAACAAATTTCTTTTGGTTGATTGATAGCATAATTCCTACTCTCTCTTCAACTATTTTATCCCCTTCTTTATTGCCAAGCAACCATTCATTATCTTCCACAATTTTAATTTTTTGTTGTATGAAAGTCTTGGGTAATGCTTCTTTGACGGCGAAATTGTTGATGGCTTCAATAAACTCTTACTTTCTTTCTTTTCTGCGCCAATTCCGTAACTGTCTATCAACATGACTGTCATCCTCAAGGTTAACTGCATGATTATGATGCACTGCATAAACTACATGCTTATCGTTTCTATCTCTTATCATTTCTTTTGCCATTCTTTTCACTAATTTATCCTCAGTTGTGACTTTAAACATCATTTTTAATTTTCTGACTATGTACGAATTATCATATCTCATTACAATGCTTGGTATTTCATCAACCTTATATTTGCTATGTTCTCTATTTTATTTAACCTAAGTTTAAGCTTTCATTGGGGATTTACTATGAATATTTCTAGTTTTTCCCTCCAGTGTTTCATGATTTTTATCATTATGATGTTCATTAATTAGGACATTATTTTTTCCACTTTTTTACAGATCTTTTGTGCTTTAAGCATTCTATATAAGGGATTTTTATTAATTTTTTTCTCCTCCATTAACTTAAGCATTAGCTTTTACTTATGGTGAGTTCTGACCATTTTTTATTTACGGCTATTATTGCTATTATACTTAGAGAGTTTACTATTGCTATTGCAATTGGGGAGGTTACTACTTAGGAGGCATTTTAGGTTTTAATTAATTTTAATCTTGAAATTTTTATATATCATTAATTTCACATAATCTAAATACAGTTGGCATAATGGGGTTTTGGGGTTTTGGGGAGATCGGAA